ATGTGAATGAGGCTCACACAGAGACTCTGAATGACCTGCTGCTGCTCTTATGAAATTTACATTTCAATATTTTTTGTACTGGTAGCTAGGTGTGGAACAGGATACTCATCTATCTCTTTCTGCTCCGTGTATAGGCTGCAATCATCTGCATGTTTGAATTTCATCACTGTACAATGGGAGACTGTAAACTACGAAGAGTTTTTGATACGACCAGACGGGAACAACAAAGCTATACAAATGCTTAAGTAGCCAATTTCCTCCGACAGAATGTTTTCCCTTTCATCATCAATATTTTGTTCCTGGAGGCTTTGTACATTGCATGACAGGGAAATACGTTTTGAGGTCAGTTCAACTTTGCCCTCTTCTAGACAGTAATTGTCCCAAACCTCCATTTCCTCAACTATAAAATGGGAAGGGTTATGTTTCTCCCTTATCCTTTGGTTATATGGACTGATTAAGAAAGTGCCCTGTAATCAGCAAGGCAAAGTGACTGCTGAGAGGGCAAATCCATAATAAATGGTAGCTGATATCATCATTGCAATTTTCATTATCTTCGTATTCTCATGCCCTGCTTATCTGGAGTTTCAACTCGAGGTAGCTTTGTGTGTGTGTGTGTGTGTGTGTGTGTGTGTGTGTGTGTGTGTATGTGTGCCTTCATTCGGTGAAAGATTTGCCTTAATGGACAAATTTACGAATATCTGAATGGGGGATATTTAAGAAAAAGTTTCAGATTCAGCCACACCATTATCTGAGGTCAAACTTGGGGAAAGGGCAACAACCAGGTACATCTCATAGTAAGAAGAGAAGTCTTCTTTATTTGTTTTTTATTTTTTATTCATTTTACATACCAACCACAGTTTCCCTCCCCCCACTTCCCCCTCCCCCAGCTTCTTAAGTTGATCATGTTTCTAAATAAAATTTACACGCCAAAGTTAAGAGGAAAGAAATGTCTTTCAATATCTCCAATACTACAAATTTGCATATGCCCATGCTAACTATCAGATATGGCTTTTATGGGAGGTTAATGTTAACCTCTAAATACTCAAAGTCTGCCAAGATCTCTTGTTGCAAACGGCTACTTGGAAATGGCAAGAATGAACCATCCAGGAGAGAAAAAGGAATCTTCCCAAAAGCATAAATCAAATATGGAATACTCTTTGTGTTGTATGTGGGGTGAACCTTATATTTTATAACTGTACGACATGAATGCATAGATGTTGTATCTGAAATCCTACCTGTGTTTCCTTCCTACCAGCAAGGCAGTAAAAAGGGCTTTAGTCAAATCCTCTAAGCAAACACAGAGACAACCCGACACGAAAACCAGTCTGCAATATTCATTCTCTTCTTCAGAGATCAGCTACTTATCCATACAACCTCTTCTTCTGTCTATGTGACCTCATGGAATGTGTAGACATAAAAGGCAAATCGGAGCCAAGGTATCTTTGCCTGCCTAGCTTTGTACATGATGTTCAAAGGTGTTTGATTAACCTTCTATTTACTCCTTCTGTTTCCTTCAGACGACCTTTTCACTTAGTCCATGTGATTGTGTGACACACTGACACCCTGTGACAAAGCAGCCCTTGTGAGCTCTCTATGAATTATTTCATTCATCAGGCTCAGGCCCTTGTAATGTCCCTTTATGTGCTACAAAGCACCGGCTGTTGGAAGTGCGAAAGACCAGCGCAGGTGTAGGCACCTCCCACACTGCAGATGCTGAAACCAAATAAGGGGTGGTGAATTTGCAACTTTCCCTCCAATTAGTTTCCTGTTGGAAATCTCCATTGCAATTTAGATCATTGGCCCAGGGAACAGTCATTCACTGATAAATAGAGACATGCTTTCAAAGGTTGGTATCTCTAAGCAATATGAAACATTTAATGAAAGGGTGTGCTTATCAAAGGGAGACCTGCTAAGTGGGTAAGTGAGGAGGAAGGACAGCTTTGCTCCTCTGAGTATTAAGCAAGACTTTTAAGTGTTCTGTGAAGCCGCTGTAAGAACAAGCAAGGCGCTTGATTGGAAATGCAGGGAGAACGTGGAAACGCACATGTAGACAGGACCGAATTACCAGGAACATCCAAGTCAGTCAAAGGCAAGCACCTGTGAATTTCCTTAAACGATTTGCTGGAGGGGATTGTGTGGTAACCACATCGCCAGAGCTGCTGTTTCTCTCATCAATTAGTATTGTTACGAAGAAACTTGACTATAGAGTACCTAATAGCTGCAAAAATAAATTCCCTCCAATTAAGTAGTCTAATAAGCTCTTTAGGCTTTCACCACTTAAGATTCTTTCCTCCCCATTTAATTTCAGCTTTCACTTGGATGTCATCTTGTTGAAAATTCATCAGAACTATGTGTGTGTGGAAGGGAGGGGGGATAAAGTTCCTAAGTGCCCCGATGCTCAAAGCCCAGCAAAAGCACAATAATTTTTTCCCAAGCAACCGAGGATTTTCACTAATAATTTAGTTTCTTCCTACTAGAAGTTAATATATGAAAATATATGAAAATGGTCAATATGCAAATTCAGATATCACACTCGCTAGTTGCCTTCCGTAACTGCTATGTGCATAAATTTGAAACAATACAATATTTTAAGATTCCTGATTATAATAATGCCTTGGTGTGCATATGTGCATGTATAATTATGTTCATTTAATTTAATCATGAAAATATTACAGGATCATTTGATTTGTCTCCTCTAAAAGTTCTCTCACTTTTTTTCCCAACTAATTAATTCCACTAAGCTTCATCTGTGAGTCGTCTGGTTACAGGCAAGGAGTGTTACACTAACAGGGACATGGTTGCGTTGCTATGGAATTGTGGACAGCAAGACAGCATTGGGAGGGTGGCAGTCTCTTGCCCTTAATCAGTGAGCCTGGCTATGCTTTTCAGTAGAAATGGGTCTTGAAAATATTCTAATTTTATGTTCATTTCTTTCAGCAAGTCCTTGGTACCCTTGAATGCTGAGAATTTGCCCTGAAGCAATCACCTGATTGCACAGAAGAGACCTGGACACTAGCCCATGTGACCCACACATTCCACATGCTTCACTGGAGTGCAGCTTTGGGGATGGCGTGCAGTTATAGAATCACATGGGATAGCTGAGAACAAACGGGTGGAGGACGTTTAACTTTATGCACTAGAAACACTGACGGTACCCCTATAACAATAATGGAAGAAAGGCTGACCTAATGGGGATTGAATGTTAGCCTTCTTCTGCCAAAGAATCCATGTCTTCCTCACACAAAAGCTGTTCCTTTCCTCAACATATTACCAGAGACCAGGAGAAAAGAAATAGGTTGCTTTGTACCCATCAATGGAATCTATACAACATCTTTTCCTCGGGGATTAATTCAGCTTTTGATTAAATCTTTCTGAGATTTAAATCATGATGTTACAAACCTCCAAGGAACTTCTCTCTGAGTTGTGACCTTCTTTATTACTCTCTGTTGTTTGATAAAGTACAAAGATTGATTTATAATGGTGCACAGCATGCTGAAACAAAAAAAAAGGGCCAAGGAGAAATCGCACAATGTGAGATTAATATAAAGTAAATATTGCAAAAAGTAGGCTTTGTTTAAAATGCTCCATAATTAATAGTGAGTTAAAACTGTATATCTAGTAATACTAGTATCAGATGAGTGACATAGTAATGTTTGGACTGCAAATTTCATCCATTGATCTGCTAAATAATTTCACATTTATGAGAAAACTGGCAATGTTGAAAAAGAATTTTAACTCAATATCACATTGTTTATAGTTTAGACCATTTTAATATGGAAAATTTTTGAAATGAGACAGAAAAACTACTGTGATCATGTACTCAGTTACTTTGGGTTCTGATAATGATTTCTGCCAATAGTATCATCTAAGATGGAAATAATTTAACATTACGAGGGCAGAAGGAAACAAGTCTATTATCTCCCATCAAGATGTTCCAATACAAAGCTAGCAGCTAAGATCACTTAGAATACCCATTAACTATCTACCCTCTCCCAAAGGCTTATTAGGGTAAATAGTTCATCCCTTCTGATGTACTTTTATTATTTTAATAACCTGGCTGCTTCCAAACAGAAGATAAAAAGATTCCCAGTACAACATAAGCAAAAATGGAAGTTGAGTCAGCTCTGGTACATTCCCTGGATCTCAGAAAAACTTAGGATCTATAGTTGTATATCTGCATGACTTAACATTAAGTTTTTTTATTTCAAATGTTGACAACGTATATGAATGAGTTTTACTATTTGTGTAGAATGGAAGTTGCACCACAGAGAGTGTGTTTCCTATGTTATTTGCAGGTTTTTTGGTGTATTTTAATGGTAGTTTAATCACATTTCAATATTCACAAACATTGTTTTCTCTGGATTTGGTAGGGTGAGTGGAAGAGGATGAATTCGCTTGTGAGTTTCCCAATGCTGGGTGTACTCTGCTCTTGAGTACAGAGGAACACACAATATATCAGCAGAGGCTGTAATAATAACAATGCCTTTAGAGTTAAGATCACGACTTGCTACCAGGCACAACAGACAGCCCGACAGCAGGACATACCTGCAGCGACCTGCCCATTCCTATACAACCTGGTAACATGAATAGGACAAGGCCTTTCTCCTGATGTAAGTCATCAGAAAGTATCTGACTCATCTATACTAGAATCAAGATCCCCACCAAATATTTACCTGATAACCCTCCAGGCAATAATTTAACCTTAAAAGTACATACTTTCCAGGGTTACTTGCACAAATAGAGCTAAGCCATTTCCAGGTCATTTTTTACCTGCTCAACCTTCATTATAGAAATCAACCACACCTCCCCTTTACACTTTGAAAAACACTAGGTAAAATACGAGAGGTGCCCGTGTCCTCGGAGCTAAAGCACATCCATTCGTATGGAAAAGCAGCGAGGAAGGGAGAGAGCCTGAGAGGAAATTGAAGAATAAGCAGCGATGTGTACTGATCTGAGAAACATGCCAACAATTGGGTTCCGATAAATAAGAAAAGCAGAAGTAGATTTGAAACATTCGTTTCCCTTTATTAGCTCAGTGAGGCTGATGTGTACTGCACATTAAAAAAAAAATCACAGGAATTTTCATACAATGAATAAAACCACAACAATACATGTAGAATTGGCAGGTGGAAAAGAGCCAGCAAGGGCTCAAACTAATCGCTCACTTTCCCTCTTCAGCATAGTTCAACCAACAGTGTTACACTTTCACCTACAAATCTTAAAGTAGCTCCATCAAATCAGCAGTTTTCACATTATTGAAAATGTCTGTCACATAGGTACAAATTTAGAATCATCACATTATATTACATGGCTATTCTAGGTCATCTATAGATCAGATCTTAGACTACAGTGATTGAAGTTCTCGGTACAGCCATCAAAAAAGGACACATGATCATTACCTACTGTTAGCTCACATCTAAAGGCATGAAAAGGTTTCCTTTTTTCAACTGACCCAAACACTTTACCCCAATAGTGCCAAGTTCCCTCTCTGCTGTTTTGAGTGTTGACAGCTCAACCGTTGTTCTCAGAGTCCTTTACAAAAACTGATTTTGTTGCACTGAAAGAATTATTCTGCTACATTTCTTTTCTTCTTCTTCTTTTTTTTTTTAAATAAAAACCCCGCATTTCTAAAGCACCAGTTCGGGTACCAAAATTGTAGATGTAGTACTTACCACAGCATGAAGGCAATGGCCCATGGTCATCTGAAAGTCTTATAGATCTATGCTGAAATTTGCCTCCCATGATGTTGGGGTGCATATGTTGTTGGAAAGATTCTCTCCCAAAGGAAGTGAAAAAAAGAAAGAAAGAAAGGAACACAGCTTACAGCTTACATTTTGATGGGCTACCCACAGTGTCTGCATAAGATACAAAAGCTTCACTAATTTTAGATGCAATCTGAAGTCCATGGAGGAAAACTATCTTCATGGTAACAAGATTTGTCAGGCCAGAGGGTGAGGGAGATCAATAAATCCTCAACATGAAATCTGTAGTGTTGTCTTTTGAGAAGTAAGAAAAGAAACCACGTATTTCAGTCATGTCCATGATCCAGGGCAAACAGAGAACGTATTTAAAGTTGGATCACAAAAATTGAAAGGCAAAATAGAGAACGCATCTGGTCCTTAAACACATAACAGGATTTACTAAATATTGATTTCTTAAAAATAATTTATTGCTCTTAATAGTCTTTTTTATTATTATTCTACAACAGAAGATACTCAAAATTCAGAAAGAAAGACTGTAAACTTTAGTTTGGCGTTCACAAAGAGTTAAAATACCTGCATTGAACCTACAGAACAAGAATTAGGCGGATTAAAGATGTGTTACTGTTGTCACGCAGAACCTGTGAACACAATTCTTTTATTTCATAGTTATTTATTGCTTTCTATCTACTTAAAAAGAGTAAGCCAAACACTTGAGCAAGCATCCGACAGAACAGACAGTGGATTCACTCAGAACACAATATGCTGGTGATAAATGAACGCAGCCCTCAAAATTAGCTGCATTGGCCTGGGGGTGAAACCCATTTTGTAAGATCGTGTTGGGTGAGAGAAAGGAAAAGAACGATTAAGTAAGTAGTAGGTCTATCACATCTTCCAGAAAAGTCACGTCAGCCAAACAGTAAACACATCTCAATTTGGAACTCAAAAACATACTCCAAACTTTAGTGACTTCCATGGCAGCAACTCCACACTCAGATGAAATCCTGATGCTCAGAATGGAGGTTTTTTTTTTTTAATTTCTGACATTTATTATTGTTATTATTATTAAATTTAGCAGAAGCAATGTCACCACGAACAACATCATGGTCACGTCAGAGGCCATGCTAGTGAGAGAAGGAACACTGCTTCTGCGAGAGCTGAGTTTCCAAATGAAGAACTTACACTCCCACCTGACAACCGCCATGCACCCTGGGTAGAAAGTCTCCACTGGCCGTATTATTTTCATCATCTCATAATTTATAATAAATAGGCTATCTGCAACTGATAAATATGTCTCTTTAGTAAACAAAGGAATGAAATATCAGTATTTATATAGGATGTATAACTGTAAAAAATACAGATTAAATACCATCATCATATTCTGCCAAGGGAAAGAGATACTGGCTTCAAAGATAGTCTTCAGACACACATTAATTATTGTAAAAATCATACTGTAATTATTACCTCAGCATTTTGTATCAAATTAAAATCACAAAAATTAAAACAAAACAGCATTTTAAAAAGATTTTTTTTGACCTCTAGTTTCAAAACTACTGTTGATAGAGAAAATAAAAACATTTCTTAATGGTTCCCCATTGAGAGACTTTACATAAAATCATGATATCGTCTAGAAAAATTTTAGATGAGAAAATTTCATTCCCCTAACAAATCCAGTGTATAAAACTTCAAAGAAAAACAAGCAACAAGAAAATGTGGAAAAATATCACAGAAGTGGTTAATACCTTTAGGGGCCTAGGATTTTTGTTGTTGTTGACAAGGTGCTTAGATCGAAGCTCCTACGAGGGGATGGATGTGCGTGAAGCGTCAATTTGTTGTAGTGCACTCAACGGACACACACACACACTGTCTTTTGTTTTGTTTTGTTTTGTTTTTTTTTACAATCAAATATATATAAGCAGTAAGTTTAGCTTCTAAATATGTTAGTGTACAATAATTGTTTCACCTCATAATTACATTTGAATATTCTTGATTAAGAAAAATTTAGCAGTTTTGAAAAGAAGGCTGCATTTACAGTGCATAGCTGTAACAAAAAAAGAACATAGTTGTAGAGTATGTACATAAAATAAAAATACTCCATTTAACATCTGTAAATACTTAACTACATCAGAGAATGTAGCAATTACACTATCTGAACACATCCAGAGAGTTCTACTCAACTCTCAGTAGTCATGTAACACCAGGTCTCCTCCTCAGAAGGAACCACCGAACACACTCCCCGCTTGACCAATGACAAGGCTTTGCAAAAATTTCCAGTGGAAGATCAACATTGTGGACATATACAGAGGTGTCAGGACAAAGGACGAACTACAGAAACTTCAAAATGTTAGGAAAGTTTAGCATCTGTTGCCTACAGTATCCTCTCCCACCCAGATTCCATGGCAAAAGGAAAGAAGGAGGAAGAGAGAGGGGGAAGAGAGAGAGACCGAGAAAGAGAGAGAGAGGATATTAGTTCTGTGGAACCTATAGTGTCTTCGGGATTGTCAGGAAATCGTTAGGTTAAGAGAGAGAGCTTGCTGCAGGTTGGTTTTGCACTTTCTGGAAAGACGGTACCGGAGGCTGACAACAGACATCAGTAGTGTCATTTTAGGGTGGTTTGTTAGTTTTCTTTCCTTTTAATTTATTTCTATTTATTTTCCTTTTGTGTAGAATACGAACATTTTGAAGTTCTAGGTTTTAAGTGTGTCTTCATGGATATGCTGCCATTCGAAGGGGTTTGCCCTTGTTCATTCTGGTCAGGTGCCCCCAAGTCCTCATGCGCACACATGTATGCCCCAAATAAGTACACACACACACACACACACACACACGCACACACTGTCACCAAGAGCCTCCAGGGAAAGCAAAGCTGACACCCGTGAATAAACGTGTGCTTACTGGATTATCATTCCATGTCTTGCCTCTTCAGCAGCTGTGTTCATGTAAACCGTTGTTGTTCTTGTTCTAATGGTTGTTGTCGTTTTGCTTTATTTTTTTGTACAGAGAGTGTAAAGTAGGAGAAATTCCTAAGTATGACTTGCAAGAGTCTTGGGAAAGGACACGCTGTCCCTTGAGGTATTGACCATCTCTCTGTCATCCTCAGCCAGGGAACATGTTACCTGCGCAAGCTTCTCTGAGCTTCCTTCAGTAAACTATCAAAATCCAGAGAGTCATACTTGCTCTTGGTGGAAGCAGGGTCAAAGTCATCTGAATTTGAATCTGGAAAAAAAAAAAAAAAAAAACCCAAACCAGGTTAGATGCACCCTTTGCTGGTGGCTTTCAATGCAATTCAAGATACCTGGTTCAACTGTAATGTAATGAATCAATGTACTTAAAAACGGTGCCTGAATTTCATTGAATATATAAATGTAAATAGAGAAGGGAGTAGTTGGCTTTCAAAATCAAAAGCCAATTGATTCTCTGTATACCGAAAAACTCAGAGAACACAGGAGTAGTAGATTTCAATGCTTCTTTAATATTTAATATCTTTATAGGTGACTACATTTCCCTTATCTTGGCATTTTAAATGACTTGCCAATGGTTCCCCAATAACTTAAATGGGAAGGTACAAGTAGAAGCTGGAAATAATTTTCCGATTTATGAATTTAACTTTATTGAGCATAAAATTTAATAGATTAGGATGGACAAAGATCATTCTAGACTCTCTTGGATTTTTCAACTTGTTCAAATCTGATTTTATGCAAAATCCCACACTATGTCAAACAACTCTTTTAAAACGCTTGTGTTTAGCAATGTATGTTAAAGTAAAATGCTGTTAAACACTTCCAGCCATTCTCTATTTATATCTACAGAAGAGGGTAGATAGTGCAGGCTGGTCTTATACGTGAGAAAGAATTTCTGGGAAATATAAACAAAACCTCCTGTGAATGAATTACACTATTGGGAAGTATTTATTTGAAGGGTAATAAAACCTTTCAGGGACACATTAACAATTCTACTAACCATATAAGCATTCCATATTTTTCCTAAGCTAAGTTACAACACAAAAATCCAAAGAACAGGAGTGCAAGAGTAGAGACTAAGGAAGTATAAATTGCAATATGAAGACACACTTAGCTGGGGCTGGGGTGGAGCTCTGGGGTTTTGTGTAAGACAAAACATTAGGCAACCACAGAGGGAAATTTGCATTCCTTTTTCATGGAGGGAATTTAGAGAAGTGTAGTTACCTAATGTTGGGTTACCCTAAGAATAATTAATCCATAATTTAATGTTCTGTATTTCTTTTGATAAATATTCAGAATGCTGGGAGACAATATTTCTCAAAAGTTTCTTCACTGTGGTGGACTTCAAGTAGACACCCACCTACACAAGCACACATCTTATCTCTCTTAATAGGCATCCAAAAGAGATGCTCCTATTGGATGAGGCAGCCCTATGTGAGACCGCAGGAGGAACTCCACCATGCCCTCTCATATTGAATAGAAGATATAATGAAAATGTGGAAATAAACTAAAAGCTACCTCATTATTTTCAAAAGAAATTGTTAGAAATAATGTTTTCATAATAATGGACGCAAAAAAAATCACATTTGTTTTTTTTAGCACCTGGAAAACTGTTGCTCCAGGTAGGTAGTCAAATTAATGTTGTTGAATGGATGTATTAATCTCAGACACCTCCATACTATTAAAACAATAGCTGAAAGTATTCATGTTGGGATCTGGAAATTATTTACCAATAAATGTCAATAAAAATGTAAAGATATATGTAAACATAATATAATAGTCTACTATTTGTGTAAAGAACTTATTATGAATGTATTATTTCATTTTTCATATATGCCTGAACATGATTTCCATGTGTTACTAATACTTAATCAAAACCACTATATTCTTAATACAAAGTCACCTGTCCTGATTCTGCCTTTCCTGATTAACAATTTTTGCTTTATATTTATTTACTTTATGTGCATAAGTATTTTTCCTGCAGGTATGTATGAGCACCATGTACATGCCTCGTCTGATAGAGGCCAATAGAGGGTCCCCTGAAACTGGAGTTATGGACGGTTGTGAGCCACCACATGGGTGCAGGTAATCAAGCCTACGCCCTCTGAAAGAGCAATATTTATTCTAGACTACTGATCCATACATCCAATCCTTCTTAATATTTCTTATCAAGGCATTTTGTTGGTAAGAGGCATTCCTTATATAACAGTAAATAGAACCAATAGATAGAAATTCCTAAATAGTAGAGCAAACTTCGAATCCTGGCTTAATCACAGTAGCCCTAATCAAGTCACATTAATTTTTCACTCTCCCTTATAAAACTAGCTATTAAATCGTAGCTGCAATCATTACATGCTCTTCTAATAGCAATGTAGTTATCGTTAGCCAGTTTCTGTGGTAGAGGAATAGGATGCACGTAATAGGTAACTTCATTTGGAAAAGCAAATAAAACAGGAAAAACTGCAAAGGAAGAATCTGTCTAAAATCATAGAACATTTTTCTGTCTCAGTCCAATTAATAAGTATCATGTCAGTTTTCTTTAATGTTAGCACGTGTATGAGTTTCCAATTCCTTTATGTATGCAGTACATTATTATATTCCTTTTATTTAGGTATCACATGACTTGAAACATTTAATCTAAATTCTTCGTGGAAACAAAGACAAGATATTGAAAATTTTCACTGATCTTTCGAGCTAGACCCTAATGTTAATACTTCCATTTAAAAACAATCCCAAATTTCTAACTTCTTATTGCTCTTACTTTTAATTGTAGCCTATTTATTTTATACAAGGCATTGTGATATCAGCTCCTCCACCAACATTTAATATTCCTCCATGCCAATATGAGTTATTTTATAAATAAACAATCGGAAGCTAAAGGAGCTGAAATGCTTATCCAAGATCAGCAGTGAACCAGCTCTCAAACGTAGGGTGACTTGATTTTAGTGCTGAGGCTCTCTTGGCTACCTCAGAAATGTGTTGAGAACAGCATCTTTATGGTCTTAACATGCTTTAGAGACTTCGACTATCCCATGCTACTGCAATTTGCATCAAATACGCTTTTCAAAAGCTAGGGAGTGAGCTTAGGAATGGTCAAGTTTCCATGGCTGCTGGCTAGGCAGGGAGATAACAAGCTGAGGAGCGTTCTCCTTAGAACTATTTCAGGGAGGCGCCAGTTCAATTTGGAAATACCATCCAATCCTCCCTCTCCCATGATGAATCGTGATCTAAAGACCCCTCTAGGTAGCTTGTTTTAAACTCTAGACGTTGGGAGAGAGTAGAAACACCCCCAGCCTTCATCACTGAAGAAAATAAGTCAAATCAACTCAAGGCTTCAATCTGTCTTGACTGTTTTTATCAGCCAGCATTTGAACAAATGACTTGCCAGGTTTTATATTTTCATCCCTAGGCCTCTATCTCTCTAGCAGTCAGCTGCCACTTCCCTGTTCCCCTCTATCTATTTAGCTTGTGAAGTGAATTATAGCATATTCCCCCTGAACAATGCTCGGCACCTATATCAATTACTCCAGAAAGACACAACTGTCCTGGAAGGGAAAAAGTAATTGGTGTTCGTTTTTGTCTTTATACAGCATCAGAGCAATAGTGAATGGATAGCTACTAATGTTGAAGAATAGATGTGCATGCTAATTTTAGGCTTGTTATAAATTAATTTAAAATAATCATGATAGTGCACATTTACCACTTTTCTCCATTTCTTCCTCAAAGAATTAAACAATGTATAACACACATATTAGATAAGGGATGGAAAGCAATGGGACAAAATTAATATTAGAAAGAACATTAATATGTCCAGTGTAGCATTATTTATAATATCAAAAATTAAAATGAATACAAATAGAGTTAGAATGAATTATCTAACCAAATGATACTACATGCCCAATGAAATAGTATGCAACCATTAAAATATGTGCCTGAATTATTTTTAGTTCCATGAATCACATTGGGAAATGAATATATGTATTATTGATGAAAAAGATAGAACGTGAGCTATATGTATAGGTATAAGCACACATGTGCACATACATAACATGATCTCAACTATGGGACAGGAAGAACTCTCAGACAAAATTCTGAAATCAGATGTTAATATCATCATCTATGGGTAATAAGCTGATCAAACTTTCACTTTTCGTCTGAAGAGTCTCCTCTGAAGAGGAGAAAGTAAATAGTGACGTGTATTGTTTAATGTATGGTGGACGTGGCAACAGCACAGACCTCTGACTGTGATTTTGCTCTCAAATGACAATTGTTTGCTGAGCTTCCCGTACAAGGTGTAGGATCCAGACATACTCTACGAGCTTGGTTTTTGTTTTATTTTATTCTCAAGAAATTAAGTCTGTGGTCATTTAGCTAATGGACTTCATCTTTCTCTTCTCAAGTATACTAAGAGTGTTTCCATGTGCTTGTGACATAGTGAGGAAGGAAAAACACAGCCCTTGCCCTACCCTGTGCTACAAAGCAATGCCAATGGTGGAGTTCATAGGAAAGGATTGAGAGTATGGATAAAGAATAAACACAGATAAGTGCAAAACTTGAATAAATGCATACAGAGATGCACACAACACATGCACACATAACACAATACCGCCAGCACACACAAACCCCACAAATGGCTTAGCATCTCTTCAGAGAGTACATCTGCCCTTCGGGGCTCAGACTTAACCACCTTGCTTCTGAAAGAGTCGTCTACAAAAACAAAAACCGTATTCATATACTCCCTTCAGGAAAGCCAGGTGGTAGCCTGATGTAAGGTGTCTGTGGAGCATGCTCACTTCCACCTGGAGCTCCATATTATCGATTCACCCTTGCATGTACAATAGTTATATACCGTACCTAGGTCTGCATAGTTAGACTTGAAAAATTGCTTCCGTCCACAAAAGTACAGCTCAAAGTCAGTTTCATTCGACCTGCGTAAAGTGTATCCATTCTCCAGGGCAGCGAAAGCATCACAGGTGTAACGGTAGGTGATGAAGCCATAGCTGTCTCTGCAATGGGCAGGGAAGAGGCGTTCAGAGCTGATTATGCAGCATTGGCACAGAGGACTGCAACCCCTTCTACTTTGGGAGACATCCCTGGTGCCAGCATCTCTGCCACCACATCCATTTATCAGTGTGATTGTCCTGTCAGGCAGCAAAATACTTATTCTGAGACAGGAAATCTCAACTAGAAAGATTAATAAATAGGGATGAAAGAAAATAAATAAGGTTCTGAACTCAACATGTCATCTGTCAAAACACTTACATTGGCAACTCCCATCCCAGTAATCTTAGGGCCATAATTTTTAACATACGTCAGCTTCTAAACAAGAAATAATTTTGAAGATTCTCACCCATCATCCCGCAGATTTACTGTGCATTCCTCAATTTCACCAAAAACTTCAAAGCGGTCTCTCAGTTCTGTCCGCGTCGTGTCAGGTCTGATTTTACCAACGTAAATCACACGGCGTTCTTCCTAAAAGCAAAGGAGAAGGAGAGGATTTTTCTAGCTCTGGAGACAAAATGCAGTTGTGCCACCAGAAGCATCCATGAACATAAAATCATGAATAAGAACTCGGAGAGCAGTCTCACTAGAGCAAAGCAGATATCAGATCTAAGGAAAACTACCACATAGGAACCAAGTTTGACTTTCCATGCCTTACATTCAAGCTCTTCGGTCACACTACACTTTCTTCTCCACTGAGCTTCTCTTTCCCACTTCTGTCTCACCCTTGTCTTTCTTCCCGAGAACTTCATATACCAGAGAAGACATTTATTCAATGAGATTTTTTGAAATCACTGAGAAGATATCCAGCATATATGAAATATGTGAGCACTTATTACTTGGTTATTAATCTTCAGAATTGGTATAATAGCCTGGCTTATAAAACTATTTAAGTTCCCATCAACTTAGAATTCTAATCTGAAAATGTACAAATCTTGACATTCTCAAAGGGTGGTTCTTAATCTCTAATACTCCACAAAATCTTCCTGAAGGAACACGATCCAAATGCAATTGTTGTGGTTTATCCAGAAGGTAGACAAAAGAAACAAATGGGAGATAAGGCCTCAATGATCTCCATTTATAGCAAGGATACACAGCATTTCTAAAGCATGTGTTTGGAAGAGAATCATTTGAGTTACAGTCTTGAAATGTAGGCCATTTTTAGCCATGAGTCTCTGAAGAGTAAGGGCCGAATGAAAAAGGATATAAGTTTTACTTCACCAATAGATTCAGCCCTATTTTAAGAACAGACTAGAGGGGTGTAGCCTCATTTCTACAAGTGCAGTCAATATGATCATAATGTAAAAGCCATTAGAAATTTATAACCTACAAATCACAGGAAGCCCATACCATTGCCTGAAGATAAGATTCCTTTTATATAAATGTGGGCTTCATGCTTAGTGAAACCCTCTTGAATATTTCATTCTAGGGTAGGAACCAAATAGAATAATGCCTCAAAACTGAGGAAAGTTTTAAAGACTATTTGGAGCAAATATAGAGACTGTCCTTACCAACTAGTCATGTGCCTACCAGGGACAAGCAAAACAAAGTGAACTTGAGGTTGCAGAAATTTAAGTAGGATCAAAGCCAAGAGGCTGGGAAACATGGGGGTAGCATACAAATTCAGGCGTCCAAGAGTGTTTCTCCGGTTATACCAAGTGCCTTATTCTTAGACGCTATAAAACTCACAGCAGGCTTAAGACAAAGAGAAGTCCACCAACGTTTATTGGCAGCTTTTCCTTTTCCATAAGTATTAGCAACTGAGCTGCCACAGGGTGAGCGCTTACTAGCACCTGCAAAGTACATCTGAGCAACCTACGTGTTTGGTGGCTTCGTCGATGGTCTGGTCATTTACGACGACTCACATTTATTATAAACAACACTACTGAATACCTTCATCAAGGAAGGAAGCTCCTCTGAGCATCAGATAACCAAGTACTGATGGAGGAAGGTCATTGGTTAAAAAATAAAGAAACTGCTTTGGCCCATTTTATTGGTTAGAAAATTAGGTAGGCGGAGAAGACAGAACAGAATGCTGGGAGAAAGAAGCCGAGTCAGTGAGTCACCATAGTTCTCCTACTCCAGACAGACGCAGGTTAAGATCCTCCCTGGTAAGCCACCTCGTGGGCTACATAGAATATTAGAAATGGGTTAGAACAGTGTGTAAGAGCTAGCCAATAAGAGGCTGAACTAATGGGTCAGGCAGTGTTTAAAAGAATACAGTTTCCATGTAATTATTTCGGGGCATAAGCTAGCCATGTGGGCGGCCGGGGACGCAGCCTCGCCGCTCCTATTACAACAAATTACTTACTGGACTTCTACTAGACCTCTTAAACTGGAACAACCTTGCCAAAGTACACTGCCTAACTACACACCAGGAGGCCAAGAGGGCACTGGATCCTCCAGATATAGAATTACAAGAGGCACCACCCATGTGGGTGCTGCAGATTGAACCCAGGTCCTATTGAGCTTTATCGCTTGAATCTCACTTTAATTTGTCTTCCTTATTCCCTCTCTCTCAGGCTAAACTTCCAGCTTTTCTTTATGGACAACTTCAATCCCCATGTCTGTTTGCTCACTCTAATTTCTACTTTTATCACAAATAGAATAATTTTCAATAAGTCAAGAGGATTCAGTCATGTCATGTGTCATTTAAATTAGATGCAATCATGGTCTCTAATACTTCTGATAATGCATCTAATTTATTAAGAAGACCTAATAGGTGGGTTTTGCAGAATTTAAGCTTTTCTGCGTGGTCTTTCTCCTATAGCTCATGTTTTCCTTCACTCTAGGTTTTATGCTGAACTTCTAGAGGCCCCTAGTTACTCTGTGTTCCTTCCATCTCTGAGACTTTGCACAAGGTGCTCCACTATAATTTGGAATACATTTCCTAAATTGTATCCCAAGCCCCTCACATTTACTGTCCAGACTTACATTAAGATCCATGTCTGTGTCATTTGAGAATTCAGATGAAATGCTATTAGCCAGTTTTAAGAAATCTGTGTTTCTTTCTATTTTTGCTTATGTACAATTAAATCATTATAGTTTATTCATTGTTCAATGCCTCTCTCCCTTGTATAATGAAGAATTCATGAAATTAGAGTCTATATCTGTTCTTTGCCCCAATTTATGTTAAGTATGAAAGAGAATCTCAGTAAATATTTGATATAGGATTTTAAAATCAATTCTTAATTTTTTTATGTGTAGGACTATTTTGCCTGAATATATATACATATATATGTATGTATGTATATATGTGTGTGTGTACCACATGTGTGCCTGGTAACCCATAGAGTTCAGGAGAAAGCAGTGAATTCCCTGGAACTAGAGAACTAGAGTTATAATAATGGTTGTGAATTAAACCAAATCTACATCCTCTTCAAGAGCAAAAAGTACTCTTCGAAGTTAAGTATTTGCTACAGTCTTCAATTAATACTTTTTAATACTAACCCATGCCTGGGAGACCACTAGTCTCTGAAATATTCCAACATAGAGGGGATATTATTTGAATATGGTCCTCTATTTTAAAAAAAAATCTCTGTTTAGGCAACTCAACTGAATGAGTTACCAAAAGTAATTTACAGATTGAAGGGCGAGAAGTATAGAATAGATGCAAGTTAGCAGGCTCATTTTCAAAAGAACTCTAGCATTCAGAGGGGAGACTCCACTCAAACAGCTGGAACGGAATTCCTCTGCCCATGCTATCAAGCCTCCTAACTGACTGATGAAGTAAAGCAAGCAGATTCAAAAGTCACTTGCGTGTATATTGTATGTTGCAACTGAAGGCTGAAATTGTTTTTCCAGAACATGCAACATGGTTGGGTAGTCAGTAGATAGAAATGGCTGGTGAGGCCCGAGCCAGAGCTGTTCTTTACACACGTTATCCAGGGAATCATAACACCACATTCCATTCTATTTACGCACCCAGTTTCAGCCCAACAGCCAAATGTGATGGGACTGTTATCTAAACTTAAACTTCCTGGCGCCTGCTTGCATGGTGTTATGGATTTTTTTTTTTTTTAATGAGCCTTTTAGGGAAGTTACTACTGTGTAAAGAAAGGAGAGGGAACTGCAGAAGAGAAAGAAAGAAATTGAGCCATAGCACAGAAATTGCTCCGCTACCATTATGGGAATACACACAGCCTATGTATTCAAGGAAATGTGAAGTTAAAGCGAAAATCGACCATATGTGCAGACATATTGGGACAGTTTCTGAATTGCGGCTTTATACAAGGCTGTATGCAACAATGATCTTCACTAAAAGAGATAACCCAGAGGACCTTTTGTAGGACTGAAAGATTCTGTAGTGAAAGGAGAAACAGCTCTATAGAGTTGCTCTCCCATCACTCAAATTACCTTTTAATCTGCCAGTTCTTTTTATGAAACACAAGGATGGACCATGTATGCCCTGCTACCTTGTAAAGAGCAAGGAGACTGAGGCCATGCCGGCATGCTCTAAAAAGCACTGAAGCCCTTTGTTTTCAACATGCTAAACATGAAAATAAAAGGAAGACACCTTAAGGTCTAGATGGCAAAGACAAAAATCTTTCATGATTGGCCAAGATTTCTGGCAAAGAGTCGCCCTTTTAACATGTTGCAGCTGAATTAGATGGATGAATAGAGTTCATATCTTAAAAAAAAATAACATTTACATCCAATTTTTCAAGACATTCATTTCCAAACAGGAGATGAAAGGAAAAGAAATCAAAATGTTTAATAACGTTGCTAACTTCTTAGGGGCTTGAAGGAACTCAGAACCTTTGGAAAAAGCTGGTTGAAAAATTATTTTCAGACCAGTTTTCACTATTGAGGAGCATGGAGCATTCATCAAATAACTTTTAGCTTCAATTTTCACAAAGGCTAGTTTGCTGATGGGGTGGATAATAAAACTGAAGATTTATGTCGCATTAACCGCTGCAGTAAATCCTCGTTACACTAAAACACGGGAGATAAATAAAGAAAAAAGTGGGACGGAATTAACTGACTTTACATTACTAAAATCTTTATCAAGAAGAGAAAAGGATTTGCTGGTTAGCCGGGGAAATGAAGCAACATTGTTCCTCATGGAATGATAAGTGACTCTTAGTAAGAGGGATTTGATGGAGGGGAGACAGGAAGCAGTAAAAGCTGACTTTTACTGTTCACTGTACAAGCAATGTGTTAGATGCTTTCGAATGGATTCCCTAAGTGAAATGCTCTACACTTCTAGGCACCAGTGTGTCTAGTATAGATTTGACTTTGGTCCCCGGTAATTTTATTCTACATTTTTTTTATTTCAGAGCAGCATTTAAAAAAGGTTAATTCTTCTCTCTTTGCAAAGAGAACTCCATTTTAACCTTCAGAACAAAAGATTTTTGTTTTCAATTCCAGAGTACTTGCAAGATGACTTGGCAAAAATGAAAATGTTCAAGGTATTTCACAGGGACTAGCTCAGGGGGTAGAGCCCATGGTCAGCATACAAAGTCCCCGTTTCACACACACACACACACACACACACACACACACACACACACACACACCTATGAATATTATGCATGAGTGAACATTCTAGTTAAATAAACTTTTTAAAAAAATGGTAGCAGAGTTGACAGCCAAGCTAGATATAAAGCTGGCCAGAAAGAAGGATCAACTGAAAAAGGACTGAAAAAAAATCTGTTGTCCTTGCTCTTAATATTGAGTACACTTATGTAGTGGAGAAACCATTCACTGAAAGTCTCTTAATAAAGAGTATCTTCAGGAAAGAAACAAAATGATAGCATTCAGATTTCCGATATGACCTATAGGCAGATACTATATGGAACCTCCCAGGCCAGCAGTTAAGGCTACCTGCAACCAATCCAGAAGCAAACAGTCAAATAAAAGCTGAGATGAAACTAAATCTGTAGACCAATAATGATGTTCTTTAAGAGCTTTATTTGAATATAATCAGAAAACAAAAATTGTACATATTTATTGTAAATACTTTTATGAATTTGGAAATAAATTTGTACCTGCCAAACCTTGACTATAGTAAAGGTATTAATATTCTTATGTTACTGTGGCACCTTTCTCTCTCTCTCTCTCTCTCTCTCTCTCTCTCTCTCTCTCTCTCTATGTGTGTGTGTGTGTGTGTGTGTGAGTGTGTGTGTGTGTGTGTGTGTGTATTGTTGACAGGTGTACATTTGATATGAGATCTATCATTTAAACATTGTCAAAGTGCACACTATAGAGGTGTAAGCAAACCTCTAGCATTTCCTTTTGTTATAAAACTGACATTTCCAAATACTGAACTTAAAGTCACGATATAAGACATATTTCCCTTTACTGACAATTCCTCAAAAAGAGGCTAAATACTCAAGAACCATGGAAAAAAGGTTTATCCATGAAACTGGATTCTTTTCTCGAAGAAGAATAACTGATGTTTCAACATTTAGAGAGAGACATTTATAATCAACAGTAGTAATATATTGGTTGTGACTCCTGGGCTTTAAAGTGACCAATAGAGGAGAACTATGTGAGAGCCTAGCCATTTTCCAGCATCTGGATTTGGTTTTAAGCACTGAGCCACATCATAATGTCTAGATTTGTTCTTTGAATTAACATCCCATAATGATGCTTTCCGGCAGAAACTGTACAGATTGCAAATGGAGTTGGACTTGGATTTCAGCAAGAAATTAAAACAGTGACAGTTCAGACACTAAGTACTAAACTCTGGCATTCATAGCTCTGGTTTAATCTGAATTATTTTAAGCTTAGGGGACAGAGAAAGGCAGAGAGTCAATTGGCTTTTGAGAGTGAGTTTGAATGGAAGTCATGTGAAAGCAGACCCTGACATGATGATGCTCTCCGGTCATCACGGAGAATTCTGTATTTGCAGCTTCCAATTGTTACTGCTAGCATTATGAAGGCTTGCCAAACCTGAGCTCCATGAAGAAGCTTTCAGAACTCCAATTCATGACAAGTTTGCAGATCTCCTTGAAAACTCAACGTAGATATGAAGAAACTCATGAGACAAAACTGAACACTTATTCTGCAAAATATCTATGAGCACTTTTTAATGCTTTTCAAGTTTTCTTTTGGAACTTCAGAATTGCTGGTCCCTAAGTACATGATTGCCCTGCTTAACAGTTAATGCAGCGTAGCATCCAAGACATTACAAATTCAAGTGGCTATTCATTTCATTACTTTAAGGGTATCTCAAAAATTGAATGGAAGCCGTCACCTATTTAGCTAACGTGGGTGGCCTATCTTGGCTTCCACAGCTGCTTCCTGAATGGAATTCAAAGCAAATGAGTAAAAAAAAAAAAAAAATCATTGTAGGCATGCTATGCTCAAGTCCACAAAAGTAGACCTTTCCAATGTTTTCTCAAGGCTGGCCTGTACGATGGGAAGAAGAAAACCACTTAAGAAAATTTTTCTGTGGGTAAAGTCATTATATTGTGCCATGAAGCTCAACACCTTTAGTGTGAGTTTCAAGACTCCAAACTCTGCCTGCCACTGTGATGTATTGCCTTATTTCTGATCTATCCTCCCTCAGTATTAACAGTTAAATCATTAGGGGTTCCCAGTATAATGAACTAGAGATGAATTGTAGGCACAGTCTCTACCTTGAATATCAATGTTCAATCAGAGCATATTACACTGTAAGTAATTGAAAATGTTCTAAAAACCACATTAAGTAATATAAAAAGAAAGAGATAATATTGCTAACAATGCTTACTATTTAGTTCAGAATCCTGGAAACAGCATATGACTCATGAGAGATAGAAAAACACTTAGAACTTTCCCATCCTTCTTTGTACCAAGTCTTTAAAATCCATTCACATGGTCTGTCTTAATTCTGCCTAAGAGAACTAACCATGTGATTAACTTCGGCTACCATATTGAACATTTTAGTTGCTAAAACTGACAGCCGGGGAACCTGCCTGAGACTGAACTAGGCCTTCTGAATGTGGGTGACAGTTGTGTGGCTTGGGAAGTTTGTGGGTTCATAAACAATAGAACCAGGATTTTCCCCTAGTACATGAACTGACTCTTTGGAGCCCATTCCCTAGGAAGGGATACCTTGTTCAGTCTAGATACGGAAGGGAGGGCCTTGTTTGTTGATTCCCAATGGGAGGCTTCACCCTCTCTGATGAGTGGATGGGGGTGGCAGATGGGGTGGGGAGAAGGTGGGGGAAGCAAAAGGACAGGAGAAGGAACTGGCATTGGTATATAAAATGAGATCATTTCAAAAAAGACTGCCCTCCCTACCTTCAGAATTTTGAACCATTTCACCTTCCCCATGCTTGCTCTTCCATACCCACATGTTCAGATGACCACTTTTGACCATGTACCTTAGATGAACTCTCTATCAAGCCATTAATCACAGTGTATTTTATGCTTGAATGTCTTTATCTGTCAGCTGACTTCTAACTCTTTGGATCAGGTGCTGAACCTTACCTAAATGCATATCTCAAGCACCTGGCAATTACTTATCACAAGATTCTGAGACTTCGTGTGTGGTCAACAGAAAAAGCGGGTACCTTTGCAAGTGGGAATTTATTCATCAGAAAGTCTCCAATATGTATGAAGTGCTTACTACTTGGAGATCACAGTGCTAGTAAACAGTTTCTGATCCCTGGGGTTTCTTTCTCAGATTTAAATAAATACCAGTGCCAAACGTCTCACCAGTGTCCAGTTTATACATAATGATGCTTTTATATAGCCAAGGTGGCATTTGAATTACTCCAACTCCCCTCTCAAAGGACTTGAAAACTGATAAGAACTGTCTTGGGCAAAGAATTAAGTTAACATTTGAGAGGCAAAGGAAGGAAAGGGCGAGTTTAAGAATGCTTTTGTCTCATAAGTCAGGACTAATAGCAAACTAGTAGGTGTTTTCAGAGAAAGCTAAACCAGAAAAAAAAAAAGGCTTGACTCCCTCCCCCTCTTTATTCTAATTAGGTATCTAGACCTAAATTATTTTGGTAGGCATAAAATAAATACGTGTCATTTATCTACATATTTTTGATTAAAATATTCATCTGGCTTTGATTAGAATTGCACTGTATTTTGCCCAAATGAGCAAATAATACCCTATATTTAAGGAAAATCAAGAACTTTATACGATATGAATTTATAAGCAGCAAATGCAGTGAGCCAGCAAACACTATGTGACTGCATGTTCTCTCAACATGGCTCACTTTCGTAATTAGTGACTGTAGCATGTTCTGTGGAAAGGCTTTGTAAACTACAGAGCACTCTACAATGTGAATTAGGATAATTATTGGATAGGTCATTAATTAAATACGGCGATATTAGAAAAGTGGAAATTTCCGTTTTCATTAGTCTTCCCAAGTGTGAACTAATGACATTCTGGCAAATCTTAATATCACAGCTTACTTGAAAATTGAGAACAAAAATGAGGTAAAGTGTTAGAATTCGCAGGATGCCTTTGATTCAGCCGTTGGTAGATGCATAGTTAGATGGTACCAAACATCCAATCTAACAATTCAATTATTTCTCACTTCTGGTTCTTTCAATTCCCAAGATAAACAACCTCTCATTTAACCTTTCTACTCCAGCTCGCGACAGCTAAGACTTGGTTTGACACCATCAGGGATATGTTTGATACCGTGAGTTTTATTGTTCTCTCATTGTTTGCTTGATATTACTGGGTTTTCTTGGAGGTGCCAGAGGAGCCCAGCATTAATAGCTAGGGTTGATTTCTCTGAGGCTTGCTTAGCTTATATGCAAGCTATGTCAGATGCTGCCTTGCACTGCAGTGACTTGGAGCAGCTAGCAGAGACGGGCAGCAGGTGCAATGAACCAAAACAGTGCCATATCTCATCAATTAGCCACAGCTCCCAGGAGCACTGTGTTGGGAAAGACCTCAAGGCTCTGCAGGACCTCAGAGGAACAGAGTTCCGTGATTGATTAAGAGTGTCTGCCATGGGCATGTACTGGATTCTGACCACCTGAGTGCCACCTTATTAACACCTAGTGAAGGACAGTACTATATTTCAGAGAACAAACAGGTTCATCATAGCTTGCAGGTTTACTGACCACATATCAGGTGACTATATTAACACTCTGTCCCCACCCCCAGTCAGATGATGTCCTGTCCAGAGGTAAGAAACACTGACTTTCTTAGCCAGACTTCCAATATGACTTTAAACAGAATCTAGAATCTCCTCGCACCCCACTCAAAGAGTAACAGGAAGCAGCTAAAAAGATACACATTTTTCATGTCCTGTCAGACCGAAGGATCCTCCCGTTTCTTCATTTTTCAAAACAAACCTTGAGAAAGCTACTGAATGTCACAATCCAACTATCATGAGAAGTATACTGACACCATTTTTTTCAAATAAGAGCGCCTTAAGATATTTTAAAGTCAAAAATAATGTTAACAGAGCATTAACTTTCTGTTGCTGTTTAATCTACCAAAAAAAAAAAGTCTCAGAGGAAAAGGAAAGAAAAGAAATTAGCCCCACGCTGCTTACAATTGCTTTCTGCTTCTGCCTCTCCCTCTGCTTGGCCCTTTCAGATTCCCGCTTCTCATACTCTCTGCGGTATTCATCCCTCTTCAGCCTCTCATGCTGATAGGCTTCATAGCTGTCGTACCTGGGAAACACAACTTCATCATTAGGCCGACCACCGCTGTTTGTATGCAAAAGCACATTGTCATTTGGGGGAGGAACAGGGAGAGTTTGGGGGTCATGTCTTGCCATCCAAAGGAGGGGATAAAGGGAGCTGAAGGAAGAGGACAGGCCTTATTACCTGGGCCTACGGCTGTAGGGTGACCTTGAGCGTGATCTCACGTACAAGGGAGAATTGCGGTGTGTGCGGTGTCTGTAGTGACTCGATTCATAGTAGTAGCAGGATCTGGGAGAGAGGAGAAAACCAAAAGGACGTTTGCAACTGGCTCTTAGCCCAATGTACCGGGACCACTAAACATCATTGGAAGCTCAGGGCTGTATCAATTGCCTTCTCCTTACTAGCAAGATCTTCCAGTGACAGCTTGCCATCAGCTAGCCAGACCAGAGACCAAAGAAGTGACCAGTTCCTTCTCCGTGTCTCTTACTGATGTTACCATGGCTCATGGAATGGGTATTCTGTCAGATTTATCCTATAGGGATCTCAACTCTCCAGACACAGGGATCCTTTTCAAGAAATGGAAAAAGTTACACAAGCAAGTTTCTTACGAATGTCTCTCTGTGTTGATTGGCCGAGGTAGAGAGCTCAGAGCTGGGTGTGTGAGAGAACATGAAGAAGTGGGTCTGGGGGTGTATGTGCCTCGGTTAATTGATGGGTGGCTCCAGATGGGGGGGGGCTCAGTAACCCCGAGGTTGGAAATTTTCTCTGACTTCTGAGGAAACACTTTAGCATTGGGTGGATTTTGACAACCTTACCTTGAAGAGGATCTACTGCCTGGGGACCGTGACCTTGACCTGGAATATGGTGATCGGGAACACGACCTGTGTCGAGAAAAGGATCTTGAACGAGAGCGCATCCTTTGGGGTCTTTGAGAAAGTAAGCATTTGGGTGGTGACACAGAATCTCGACACGGAGAGTTAAAAGAAGAGCAAGAAGGCGACACATCAAACAATGAGAAGGCCTGCGTGCCATCCCAAGGGTAGCTCAGTTTATCACTTTCATCTTCACTGTCATCAAAGAGGCCATCCATGGCTAGTCCTGAATTTATAAACACAGGTAGTTTGGAGAATTGTTCATTACTGAAGTCGCCATCCCTTAGTTCACTGGTCTTGTCTGTTTCGTCATCAAAAACAGCTTGACAGGGATGACCGAAGTGCTTGTTCAGCTCAGCTCGGATTTCCTGGTCTTGGAGCTGTTTTCTGGTGCTGCAAGGAGAGACTTGCTTGCTGGCCTCCGAAGTCTCTCTCATGTAGCATTGGCCTGAATCTGTGGAAGAGCAGATGTGCCCCTGCCAGTCACAGGAGGCATCTTTGTAGTCTAGTTGTCTAGAGTCTTGAAGCTCCTGTGATATGTTAATGAGTATATCCGTTTTGGAATTGACTGATTGACAGTAGTCATGGTCACCAAACAGCCGTAGGCTGGGCCGTTTAGTCTTCCTTTCCTCGGGTCCCCGGCTGAGCACTGAGGACTTGCTGAGTTGTGCATACAACTCAGATTGCTCCGGCCCTTTCTTGGTGGAGTGGCTGCCTTGGGTACCAGAACACTCACTGTACCGGGCCCTCTTGGATGGTGGTGGCACCACGGTCTTACAAGAGGGCTTCAGCTTTGGAGAAGCCTTAAAAGGGTTTTCTTGGTTGGCTTTATGAGGAGGGGTTGTGGGTGGAGTTAGGCCTGCGACAAAAGAGAAACAAAAAGAAATGTGGGGAAAGAAAGAGAGAAAAGAAACAGAAGATGGTCTTCAAGGATAAACACATTTCCTAAATTTTTTTCTTGGATTTCATTTCAGACTATGGTGAAAACTGAGTGAAGAAAGAGGAAACTAAACTCATGACAAGTCCTGAAAACTGGACTCTACTCCTAAGTCCCTCCCTGTCAACCAGCAAAGGGCAGATGGGTAACGCCAGTCAGCAGCAAGGGCTGTGATATTTTGTTATTTCAAACGTCTCTGCTAACAAACTCTGCAGCCTAGAAAATAGGAATGTGTCACTACAGGCAGCCCCAGCAGCAGGTGTCACCAACACTAGCATTTTCAAGGGTGTTACAGGAGTCACTCAAAGCAATCCATGTGTCGGGACCTAAGAATCATGGAACAGCCTTGGTTGGCATTTGTCTGCAGAGAATGCTGCAGGAAAAAATACAAGTGGTTCAAGGCTCTTAGAACAATCGAGAATCTACCCTCAGGGCAATGTTTTTCGAAAAGTGATATGACTGAAAATTTTGGCAAGGGTAGGAATGACATACATAGAGAATTTTGAAATAGGATGGGCCCAGCTGAACACAGGGACTCAGAGCCCCTCCACAACTCGACAGCAATGAGTCTTTGTCTCCACAGTTCATTAACTCAGTAAACCATGGCTAATGTAGGTATAATACATTCTTGTAAGCATAACTGATACATTCTGTCTAAAATATGGTTCTGCAATGGAAAGCTAAGTGCAACGCGACTCTAAATATCTCCATGCCAGGGGACCATTGTGTTTAGAGCACATCGTCACTGAGGGCATGAGACAGTAGGACTAAAACGATTCCAAACTTCAGCAGCTAACGACATAAAAAACAAGTAAGAGAAGACAGGGGCATCTACGGGTTGGTGCCTTGTCTGCCTAGCTACAGAAAATTCCGAAGCCAGGATAGACTAGTCTGAGGCCTAGTCGTTACCTCAAAGTCTCACCCATGAATAATAAACTCAATTCATTCTGTCCTACTCAGGAAGAATCACTAGGAAGCTCCAGTGTCCAAGAAACTTTGAAGGAGGGCAGGCCGCAGTTCAAATGGTTTTATGCTTACAAGGGAACATTTTAGTTTACAATAGATTTTCTATTTAGGAGGATGGGCAAATGCTATTCAGCAGAAAAAAAAAATGGTTTCAAGTCTGTTAACAAGCCTGGGGTGAGACTTAAGGCAACTGTGCATTTCAAGGGGGAAAAATATTGCTACCTTGCTGGAAAAAATATATAAATATGTCAAGAACCAAGTAGGTCACAGAGAGCCACATGCAATTTTGATATAAACAGAAAGACACTGTCTTGTTCTCCTACTTGATGATAAAGATGCAGAGGAAATTAACGTTTTCACTTAAAGGAAAATTTCTGGTTCAATCTTAGGCAATTTTTGCATGCTGAGTTAATTGTCTCCATGGAGAAAGGTAGGGGCAGCATTCTGAAGGATGGATACAGGCATGGCCACTCTTCCTTTGGGCACATCTGAGTCCACAGGAGCTGGCTTCATCCATGTGCCCACTCTGCTGCAGCCGAAAAGCAGGAAACATTTTCCTGCATAAAACTTCTGTGCCATAGAGGTGCACGCTCTTTTTGCTCCCTCCATTAGAAAGAGCATGGCTTGTTTCTAGACTAAGAAGCTCCTATTCCTTTTCTTCCTCATTTTGTTTAGACTTTGTATCGCTCTGTGTAGAGATTTTTGTGTAGAGATTTCTACCATAGGCTGGCTTTGGTTACCAACACAACACACATTTTCAAGTCCCCATGCTCAAAAAAAGAGATGTCAAGTTCCTGAATAGTTGCTATTAGAGTCAAAGACGCTCGTAAACTGATGATGGGGACAGGGGAGCTGGCTCAGCCGGCTATGTGCCTATTGCATATACATGAGAACCTGAGTTTAAATTAGCAACCTGGTGTGGCAGAATGTACCCGGAACTCTTAAGTGATGGGCATCAGAGACAAATGGGTTCCTGAAGTACATTGGCTGGAAAGCCTGGCCACATCCATGGGCCAGTTTCAGGTTCAGTGAGAGACTTTGTTTCAAAAACAATAAATAAATAAATAAAAGGTGAAGAGAGTCTGAAGAAAGCCATCTGAACCTGACCTCTGGCTTCCTCATGTGCCTTCATCAGTGTGTACCTTCACACACATGTACACACCATCGCTAACAAATACTATGACACATATACACAACACAACACACACTCAAACACTAATGGTGAAGTAAGCTGAGTACGTGCCAATAAGTAAGTGCCAGTCAAATAACCAAAAGAAATGACCCTTGCGGAGAGACCGCCATTCAACATCCAGAATCAATCTACATAAATCTCTTTATGCTCATCCAGTTTATGACAAGTTTTTTCACTTCTAATGATTCATATTGGGGTGGCTCAATTCATCTGTATGTACTGCATGTCTCTGAATTTGTCTTTAAAAAAATGAGAATCACATCAGTTTTCTCCAGAGAGATCATGAGGGCTTTGTAGGACGCTGCCTAGATTTAATTGTCTACAGGTTATTTTGTTTATTTTCATTTTTGCACTTTCTTTCTGAGTAGTTGGTCTCACATGTCAGTGGCCCAAGAGCACTTAGGAGTCTAGTTACAAATTTTTAATGAGATGGTTCCCGGACCACACGCTGGGAACCAAGGTCTTTGAACATCTGTGTCGCACATGGCCTTTACTCCAAATATCTGTGTTTTGACTGACAGTCCAGATGTATAAAAAGAAACCCTGAACTTCAGAAATGCCAAATTAGGCCACTATAAAAGAGAGACTAGCTCTAAAAATACCTCGACTATCTAGGGATTTTAAATATAGAAATTCTTTTACTCTTGAAAATTTGAAACCCTTGTCCCAGGATCTAAGTTCATTATTGTTTAAATAAATGGTTTTCCAATTGTTCTTGGATGTCGTGATTCCCTGATCATACTTCTTCTCAGTTAAAGATAGTGTTTTTTTTTTCTACAGATATGAGAAGCTCTTGCCACTAAACAGACATCCACAGCGCACCTACTGTGTGCTACATGAGGGTTGCTGGTATTTCAAGGACTCCACCCCCACGGACAACACAGCCGCTTTTAATGACGAGCTAATTCTTCTAGCTCTGAAATAACTAAGTTTTGTTGTAGATATGCTTAAAGTGGGGGGCAATGTTCTGGGGGAAACGAAATGTGTGCTGTGATGTTGTGACGGAAGCCGGCAGGGCCATGAGTCTCTGCTCACATCACCTGATGAATCCAACCCTACTCGCTCATCAGATGGCAAAGAGTAAACTGTTAGTGCGTGGGAGGGTAGGGGACATATTCTAGATAATTCACTGTCTTTAGACTCTTTACCGAAATCCCCAAATTCAGAGAATGCCTGTGACCCAGAATGAGAGATCTCAGGAATGACAGACTTTCTATCACCCAGTGCTTCATTGAAAATCTATTTCCAAATACAGTTGAAACCTAAGGCAAAATAAAGGAAAGCAGAAGCACGAGGGACTTTTTTTTTTATTATTTCTTTTAGTGTTGTGTCAAACTTTTAGGCATAGCTGATGGGACAGGTTACCCCCCTTGGCCTCTGAATCAGCTATATTTCTCTAACCTGGCTTGCTCTGCCCACAGTGTCTTCCCCTGTGGTCCAGGGGAGGTCAACACCCAGTTCCTTAATGCTCACTTCCTTTGCTCATCTTTCCACTAATGGCCGGACTCTCAATTTCAGGCCACAAGCCTAAATCAACAGCGCTAATGCCTCCCACAACCTCTGGCTCCTTTCCCGTGTGTTGATTTTTCTGGGGAATGTGTACATTTTGGTGTTGACAGTACAAGGTATATTCCATGCTCTCTCTTGAACTTAGCAGGTTTTGACAGATTTATGTGAGGACAGATGGCCATTACAGGCTGAAGGCTGACAAGAGGCAGTTCCCGAGCATTGTTAAGACACTTGCACAAACTCTCAGCAGTGCGGCTCCGTGCAGAATGTAATTCAGACTATAGCTTTTTTATTGCTGCCTATTTTCTTTTGTCAAAAGAGCCTGCTGTGCAGAGCAACAAATGGCTGCTATTACCCAGAATGTAATGGGTGTCAGACAAATCACGTAACACAAACAATCAAGAGTATGTAGGTCATATTTCAACAGAGCACAACCTTAGCAATATTTATGATTACTGCATTGAAATGTGCTCTATAATAAACAAGTACCTCTACATCACTCACACTTCTGCACTGCCGATCTGGGAGAAGTGGCACACACTTCTCCAGTCACCGCTCCAAACAGCCCTCCTTTTATTTAAAGGAAAAAAGTCAGAGGCGAGTTTTGTTTTGCTTCGTCTTTCATTACGTGCCATGAAGTGTGGTTTGCTTTGAGCAGCTCTCTTCGGAGTTTGTTTGTTTAATTGAATGACTCTAAGAAACCATGAAGCGCCTGCCCTGTCTCTTGAGCCCTAGTATCCACCTAAATTCTACAGGACTATTTTTTTTCTTACCTTTTTATGTGCACAGTTTATAACCTGGTTCTGAATGTCCTGTCATCTCTACAGTTTACTTCTGAGTTAACTTAACAGGATTTTCCTTGGGTTGTGTGACAGTTTAGGGTCTGAAGGGAAAACACTGGGGGGTAGTGCAAAGACAAGCAGGTCTTGTCTTTCTCAAGTATCCCAGAAGGTCAGAAGTAGAAGGGCCTGTCAGGAGAAGGAAGAGAAGGCTGGGACAGCAGCTCCTGCTGCAACAGCTGCTCGAGTATTGGGCTGATCTTGGTTCTTCTTCTGTCCTCCATCTCTCATCCATTTGGAAGAGTCACTTGTGCATCACAATATCCACCCACTAAAGTGCTAGCACTTGGCACGGTAAGTCCTCCTATGGATTACCCTGGTTCTCTAGCGGGCATTCCTCCACACTGACTGGGAATTCCCTGCCTAACAGCACCGATTACTTTGGATATCAATCATCCTGTTAATCAGGGATGAAATTGACTTTGCAGAGAAGTTTCAAAACTTTTCCTACAAAAAAAAAAAAAAAAAAACTAATACTCCAATTTTTACCTGTGGAATTCGAAGCCACGGTTATTACTAATTGTCCTGTAGGCACTTTCCCACAGACCTGAGGCTGTGAACCTGGAACTGCAGTTATCCACTGCCAAAGCTGGAAGCTGAGATGGGGTGGGAAGTTACTTTGTTATCCTTGGCTTAAATACCCAATGGGACAGTATCATTTCCAGGAAAGCAAACAGAGGCAAGAGTGAGTATTGCAGACCTCAGGCAGAGATGAATGAGGCTGGAAATAGAAGCTAAAGGATAAAACACCTGCTAGTCAGAGTAGCCAAAAAACACCCTGGGTCCCAACGTCTCTTTATCATGGATGCTTCCTAAATAGGAATGGATTAAATAACCTGCCAAAGCCACTTCACACTTTCCTTTTAAAAATTACATGTATGCATTTTTAATGTATGCATGAGGTGGCAATTGGGTGTGTGCGTGTGAGTACTTGTATATGGATATGCACAGATAGGCATGTGAGGGCGTTAGAGGATGAAGGTCAGAGAACAACACACAGGAGTTGGTTTTCGCCCTCCACCACAGGAATCGCAGTGATCAAATTCAAGTTGTCAAGCTTAGCAACGTGTGCATTTCGTCACTGAACCATCTCACTTGCTCACTTCCAATATTTCTGTAGCAGATTTTGGTCTTTTCCTGTAAAACTACTAGCTACTGTTTATATTATGCTTTTGTCTATTTTTCTCAAGGCTTATCAAATGCAGAAGAAATAGCTATCAAAAGAACATGAAGCATATACACTGTCAATGTTTGTTTTTAAAAAGTAAAGATTCTTCTTTTAAACCAAAAATTCAGAATTGGAGAAATTAGGAATTAATTTGTTAATTGTGTTTCTTTTAACCACAAGTTCACTAAATGAACATTGAATAATGGATTATTTAAACCAAACGAAAGTACTCAGTTAAAAACAAATGGCATCACAAAATGCAGATGATAAGCAATCATGGAGAGCCCAAATCCCAAGAAAAACATCTATAGCAAAACTGCCACCTGTAGATTTGGGGATCATCATAAAAGTAGAGGCAGAGAGACAGTAAGAGCCTGAAGACCAGGTTGACTGTTGCAGCTCGAGTCTTCTGGCTATGGCCTGCATGAATCCATGGACTTCAAACAATGTGGCTGTCTGCATACGACCTGAATGCAGGCAGTGAATGGCTGCTGAGGGAAGTGGAGCCAGGTGTGTTGTTTTCCTCCTCCCCCTCCTCCTCCTCCCCCTCCTCCTCCTCCTCCTCCTACCCCTCCTCCTCCTCCTCCTCCTCCTCCTTCCTTTTCTTTATTTTTCAGGGATGAGACTTTAATCCTAACTGGTTAGCCCTAAATAAGGGCAACACAGCTTGTAATATGTGTGTGTGTGACTGTGTGTGTGTGTGTGTGTGTGTGTGTGTGTGTGTGTGTGTGTGTGTAATATATGATTACATTAACTACAGAAGGAGAGGACTTGAAATTGAGAGGGGACGGTTTGGGGAGTAGTTGTGGGAGGGTGGAAATGATGCAAATATAGTGTACTCATTTATAAAATCTTCCAAAAATAAAATAATAACAAATCAAATTAGCCACATGCCCATTCCATTTAAAACAGTGTAGCCAAGGATATGTGAACAGAGGGAAACGTGGGCAGAACCCAGTGGTCCCAGAGGGAAAAGACAGTGGGTTATCCTGTTCTGCTCACTTTCTTTATCCGTTATAAAGCAGCTCCGTCACTTTCACCGTGTTGATCGTGATAATGAAAACATTTAAGCATTTACATAAAAGCTGGGGACCAGTCATTTTGGTCCCTAACCAAGCTCCTTCATGTCTTGTGTTTCAGACTATCACCTTGTTAAGCTGACATTGCTTTGCCATTTCCATTTCAGACACAAGAATGTGTTGGTAGTGTCTGAAAAATTTCCATGTGCAATAGATTTAAATACCTTCTGCCAAAAGAGCATTCTCTTTTCTCTCCTCCTGCTTTACTAACAACAGCTATTTTGAAATCAAATTAGTTTTTACACCTGTAAAAGAGAAGAGCTTATTTTTTCTTTATCAGTCACAACAAGCTAGCTTAGGACAATCACAAGGAAGTCAGAGCAGCTGGCAATACCTAATAAAACCAACTCCCTCTCTCGCTCCTCCTGCCTCCCAAAGATGTTGCAGATGGGGCACACACATTATTCTGGAGATCTTAGAATTCTGTCGAGTCTTTACATTTCCTCTTGAATGTTTGGGGAAATTCACTAACAAATTTTTAGAGTAAAGTAAAAGAAGACAGGAGGAGGATGCACACAGAAGCTTCAGATACCATCTCTGTCTCTACTAAACAGAATAGGCATGTAGATCAAAGATCAATGAATCAACTGTGTGGATGCTGTTTCTACTCCATTCACCCCCTGCTGCACCTGTGGCAGACATCACTAATTGATCATGACATTCCCACTGAGTACAAACTTGGCCACAGAATCTCTCCCAACACATTGCTTCTGGCAGCCAATACCGATCAATGGCACTTTGGCAAGACAGAAGAAAACTATTTAACATAACAGATGCCAACTACTAGCTTTAAAATTCAGAAAAGGAATCTACACTCTGGTCAGATTTCTTTGAACCCAGAGTTCACCAGGAAGCTACTGTCAACATATAGCTTTTTCTTAGATAATGGAATGGGCAGAGAGTCAAAATTATATATATATATATATATATATATATATATTAAATGCCAGAGAAGAATCACCAGAGTTGGTGGCAATTGTAGAAGTAGTTGTTGACAGACTCTGAAAGATCTGTGGCTTACACCTCCATTTTCTAGACCTTCCACATGTACCCAAAGCAGTATTCATTCAGGGTTTGCAGAAGTGGAAGTAGGCTAGTGTGTGCCATAGAAGAAAAGAGAAAACATCATAGGTGAGATTGCCAGAGTCTGCAGCAGAGAAACCAGAAGTGTTAGAGACAGTTGAGGCTTGACACCTTGAGCAGCAAGGTGCACTGGCCTCCACAGAAGCTAATATGGACCGAGGGCCTATACACTATGCTTACGGTCATGCTCAGTCTCATTGAACACTCCCAGAGACTCCTGCACTAAGTGAAGCTTGAGTTTGTCTAGCATTGGTGTGGGTTTTGTATAACTTCACTAAGACAGGCTGTCTCTTTGATCCTAATAGCGTCCTTTTAATTTTATCTTTGTTGTTTATAAAGTGCTTAAGTTCAAATTGAGCTACATGCAGTTGCCAATTTTTGTAGGGCATGAGTGGTTAAACACTGGAATTATTTTATTCTGCTACATGGAGTACAACAGTATTCTCATTTAGTGGTTATGAATATAACCCAAAAGGTGAAGAATGACCAAGGATGCAGAACAGTCTTAGCAATTAAAAGAGAAAGAGAAAGAAGTATGGGTCCCTTCTTGTGGTCTCTTGCTGATATCATGCCTATGCCAAGCACAGTGCTATTGGACCCTTTCTTTGGCTCTTTGCCTTCTTGATTCTCTCCTTCCACCCCATTTCCAAATTCAATGCAAACACTTTCCTTTCTTAAGACGTGCTAAGTCAGCTGAGCCTACTAAAAAACCCAGTTCCCTCAGCCTTCTTCCATGGATCTCCTAGGGTATTATCCAATGACATTGCTTTGACACTCCTTCCAACCCTACAGTCTTCAACATTCTAAATCTTCTGTGAAAGCACTTCCTTGAATAGAGACGGGGTATCACTGTGGTTCTTTGATGATTCCCTTTCTCCTTTGTGGTTCCTATTGCGCAGTGTTGGCCATTGAGCAATGCATTCTACAGAAGACGGGCATCACTCACTACACAGAATTCCTTCTGTACCCACAATAGTGGCTGTCACTATAAAATTCTTCCTTCTATCCCAAATCCTCCTTTACACTAACTACAAGACTGCACCCTCTACACCTTTCAGTCCCTCCATGTAATTCCTAATTTCTTCATCTCAATTCCTTCTAGTGTATAATGCAATTTGATTACAGCTCAGCTGCCCTACAGTGACTGATATCAAACAACAAACTAAAAAACATCCTTCAGGCTCATGTTTCTTAAAGGTGGCAAAATATGATATATAATATGCTGTTTTTCTTTTGTGCAACTTATCAGTGAACATTCTTTTCTCGATAAGGTGTTAGACCATATCTCAAACTTGAGAACACTTACTTTATACCTCCTTTGACTAGATCCTGTTTTCAGCACTAGACATGGAATTGTCTCTATGTCTCATCCTGACTATAGTCTCACCAAAGCCTGACATATTACCAACAATGAGCAGAAAGGAAAGGCAATTATGGTAAATTTGTTTCCATTGTACAAATGGTCTTTCAGTGATGTAAAGAATGAAGTATTTTAATTAATAATATAAGCATCAAGTCCTTAACAGTAATAAATGTACTATATAAAATGTTAAAAATGTCTAGCATCTACAAAATAAGCTCTACCTACCTTTCCATAGAGTAGGCTACGAAAATCTCAAACTTGTAAGGAACTAATTTCAAACTAAGTACCTGGGATAGGGAGTGCTTGCCTAGTAAGTGCAGGGACTTTCCTTCCTCCTGAATAGTACAAGAATAGATACATAAGCTCCAGAGTGATGAGTCAGAGGTTAAGGACACTGGCCGCTCTTCCAGAAGACCCAGGTTCTAATTCTAGCGCCCCCAAGGAGTGGCTGTCAATTGCTTGTAACTCCAGACCCAGGATCCAATGCTCTCTTCTGGCCTCTGCTGGCACTGCACGCATGTAGTGCACAAGCATACATACAAGCAAAACATCCACCAAATAAAAATATAAAACTAAATAACATCTAAAATCACCTTCAAAAATAAATAAAAAAAGAAAATAAAGCTAAACGTTTTATAATACCATAACATCTTTAGTGGGATGACTATAAATGGTGTGGTGTGTTCATATTTATAAATTAGGAAGAAACCCTGGCATAAAGACATCCAGTATCGACCTAGATGTAATGAGGCATGGATGTCCCCCTTAGCACTAGTGGGACTATAAATAGAAATATCATTTTGCGAATCAATGTAGCAATGTATGTATCAGGATGCCCTAACATATTTAAATGCTTATTTTTGGCAATAACAACTATTAGGCATCTATTTTGAGAAAATCAGATTTTAAAATTTATGCACAAAGATGTCTCCCAGAGTGTTATTTCAAAATAGTAACATTATAAACAACCTAAACATTTAGAAATAAGCATTTGAGCAAATAAGTTTCTATTTACCTACTCAAATATCCTGATAATAGAATTTGAGATGGTACAAAAAATAGCTTATGTTAGGTGAAAACTTAGGCTCTAAAATTATATAAGTATTTCCTGACATATATAATGATTACAGTTACAAGCATCTATCTAAAGAAAACAATTCTGTGAATATTTTAATTTTAGAACTATGAGGACTTTTAGCTGGCTTGTGTCTATGACATTTCTAATAACCTGATAATCATTATACTCATAACAAATATCTCTTTAAAGTCAGGCATTGGTACATAACTAGAGAAGCTATCTTGCTCATTTCCAAAACAGAGTGCCTAACTGCACAGGTTCTGGTCTCTCTCAATTAACAGATCACTTTCAACTGTACGCTATCAAGCTGCACAGTGTTGTAGCTTCTAAAACCTGCTAGTGTTGTTCATTGGCCCATGGACTGTTATTAGATAAGACGATAAAGTTTTATATAAATGCACAGAATGTGAGTATGATCATTTGATTCTTTTAAAAGATACAATTAATGTAAATTTCTAGAATAGATACTGTCAAATTAGTGTGTGTTGTGTGTATGTATGTTTGTGTGTATGTTATAGCAAAGCATTGAAAATCACAAAAAAATCCAGAAAAAAAATGCACTCAGATTATCATTCCTCAAATAAACATGAAATAAAATTTGGAGAGCCTCATGACATTTCATTAGTTTGATTTATGAGAGGAAAGATGAATGAATTCCTGGTGAGCACACTGAAGCTCAATGCCATGCCCGCCGTCTCCTAACAAAAGTATGGGATTTGAATGTACATTTATATGTTCCAAGCAAAAGTTAAATGAAGAATATCATATCAGTTTTTCAAAGAAACTCACCAACTATTTGTCTTTGCTGGTCAAATAAGAAGGCCTCTCATACAGATAATATGTGCACACAACAGTTCTTCCCATTAAAGCATGTAAAGTATAACTTACTGAAGACATCAAGATAAAGGCTAGAGAGATGGTTCAACTGTTTAAGAGCATGTTCTGCTCTTCCAGGAGGCCTGAGTTGCATTCCCAGCACCCAAGTCTGGTAGCTTTCAACTACCTGTAACTCCAGCTCCAAGTGGATCCAACGTTCTCTTCCGTATTCCTTGGGCATCTGCACTCATGTGCACAAATCCACACTTACAGACATATAAGCATAATTTTAAAAACTAAAAGCAATTATTATAAAAAGAAACAAAGTTATGCATATGCTTACCAGTGAATGTATGCATGAATGTGTGCATGTATATATAAACTTGTTTGTATGTGTGTGTGTATATATAAATATATACATATATATATATCATCTGCATACACACACTATATGCCATGATATTAACTACTCTGCTGCTTGACCAAACCATGCAATCATGCAGTAGACCTTTGATAAGAAGGTAATTTAGCAAACTCAAAGTGTGAAATTAAACCTAACGACAATGACCATGGTGCGTGTAGGCACCACAGTTCTGCTTGAAAGCATCTTGTCTAACGTACTGTCCCTTTATCCTTATCAGCAATGGCCAGAGCCAAGGCCTTTCTGGTTTAGACCTCCTAAGACTTATTCTCTGGTGGATGCCAAGATGCTCCATTTACAACCTAAAACACCATTTACAACCAACTCAGAAACTTGCCTAGGAACTCTTCAGTTAGTCCAAGTTTTAAAGCTTCTTTGTCTCCATGTAGCACATGGACTAACTAGAGCAGTTCAGAAGTCTCAAATGCTCAAATGATGGAGACAAAGAAACAGATAATTCAACTATTCTATCTTCTAGATTCTTAATCTAAATGTAATTCACAACACTGACCCTTAAATATCTGTTACCAGAGTTAGAAAACTATGAAAAAGATAATGTAGATGTGAATATTACCTACACAATTTACCAACTCGAAATTTGGAGTTTTAGGGTTATTTATCCAATTTTAGGAAATTATTTTAACTTCTTGGAGAGATAATTAATATCAATAAAAGTTAATTATTTTTAATAGTCATAACTAAATAAAATCATAGAAAAGAAAGGAAATGACATTCTACTAAGGGGATTAAGAAGATGAATAGGAGGCTGGGCAGTGGTGGCGCATGCCTTTAATCCCAGCACTTGGGAGGCAGAGGCGGGTGGATCTCCGTGAGTTTGAGGCCACTCTGGTTTACAAGAGCTAGTTCCAGGACAGGCTTCAAAGCTACAGACAGACCATGTCTCGCAAAACAAAAAATGAAAAACAAAAAAAAAAAAAGAAGAAGGTAAATAGGAACCTTGCATTCACACTCGTGGTGTGGTTTAGAATGCAATTGAGTGGCACAAACCAGAACAGAAACACTGTCAAAGAATATAAAGATCTAGTGGATGCTGTAGAGAATTGTGGATGGGATGTGGTTTCTAGTGCCTCACTGGCTTCCTAGGTAATGGGCTGATCCCAGGTGCTTGATGAGAAACTGACCCAACCACATGTGAATTGGTCTCCTATGCTTTCCTTCAAAATCTTAGAGGAAGTCTCTTTGCTCCTATGTGCAATATCAAAATTGGCCATCAATTCAGGCACAGCTCATGTTCCCTTGGCTGCAGCAGTGGATGGGAATGAGTGTATGGGTGACCGGATCTCAGAAACTATATTGCATCAGGCAGCATATATTATACCTGAGCATTTTTAACTAGCTCTTTTGGTCTTGAAATCACTCACAGAGATCTGCCTGCCTCTGCCTTCCGAGTGGTGGGAATAAAGATGTGAGTCACCATCCTGGCTAATGATGATTCTTAAAATGCACTCAAGGCATCTTTCCTATTGGTCCTTCTTTTAATTGTTCCATTTTTATTTTTATGTAATTGTCTTCTCTTGAATTTTCA